TAAATTGACCTTATGTTTGCATCAAAACAGATTTTTTTTTTGTTTTCTCCTTAGAGATGCAAAATCTCCAAGTACTCACTTGTCATTTTTGGGACTGAGTCATCCTTGTGAACATGTTTTAGGTTTGGTGCATGTCTTTGCTGGAACCATTTGTTGGAGGTCCAGCTTCATTTTAAAATGCTGATGCTCTCTGGAGAAGGCCAAAACACTGGTGCAGGTAAAGGATAAATCATCAAACCCCAATTTTATTGCCCTCTGGTTTCGAAGGACAGCTTTGCTACCTGAGTATTAAAGTTTGCTAGTGTGGCAATACTGGCAGAGCATGTGTAGACCAGCCCTTAATGGCTAATCTGGAGCAAAATCATTAATTTGGGAAGACAGCTCCTTTCCAAGAGACAAGTGTCTCCCTCTTGTCTCCTGCAGTCTGGTTCCTGGCACCCTGCAGTGTAAGTAGGTCAGCAAACTGCATTTGCACCGCGGTGACGTGAGAGCAGGTAAAAGTTTTGTGTTGCAAAGCATCAAACCCAAAGCTTCTGTCTGTTTTTATGATGATTTTTTGTCTGTCAGATTTTTTGATGGCTGTTCACTGTAAATATCAACAGTCTACTTGTGGTGAATGTGGTCTGGAGCATTCTCATAGGCACAGTCTTTGCAGACAGGTGTTTCTTGTTCAGGTTCCAATATACCTGCACTCTAAGGATTAAAGCTTTCCAAGAGTTGTGCTCTTGTTCTCTGTATAACTTATGTGGCCATAGTAAAAACACATCAGTTGTCTTTTCTTAATAGTTTACAGATAAGGCAGAGATTTCAAAGATTAAAATATTCCCACAAAATTATGTCTGACTCAGGAAAGCAGGTGGTGTCGGTGGTGGCCACGTTCCTAATTTGAATTTTCATTTTGTTTGTTGTTTTGTCTAGTTGAGTTTTCTAAAAGTGATTATTCCTCTCCTGTAAACTTTCAACTGTAAAATGTAAGAAAACCAAGTTTTCAGACCCATAGTTTTTTCCTAGAACCTGCTACTTAAAAATCTTAACTATCCCACAACAGTGCTTTCACAGGGATTGACTGTGTGTTCAGAAGTATTGGTTGTATTTTGATTTGTTTTGCTCTTTCAAAGTTACAGTAAGTTGGAAGTTCCATCCTAATTTTAACAAGAACTGTGGACACTCTTAATTTGCCTGTTGGTTTGCTTTTTCCTTGGTTTTTTTTTAATTTTTTTTATTTTTTAAAATTTTTTTTTTTAAATTTCATTAGATGTAAATTGTTGTTCCTAGCAGTATCAGCATCAGTTCTTGAGGTGTTTTCATTTTGAGGATTCACCTTGCCTATACTGCTTACATATGCAGAGGAGGTACTGGAATTTTTATCCTCATTCTGCCTCATGTAGAGCATTTCAGATGACTCATTAGGATTGTATTCCTTAAGTGATGTGGAACAGCAGATTCTAAATTTGTCACACAGACAACATCAAAACACAACATCAACCCATTTGTTCTCATGCCACTGGCCCAAGGTGTTGTGTATGCCAGCAGTTTTCTTGACGAGACACAAGATGTTGGGGTGGATGTTGAGCATTTATAGAACAGTTTATGTTACTGGAAGCAACTTTAACTTACAATCATGGTCTTAATTAAAAAATGGAAATTATTGTTTTAAAGCATGTATGGAGTCAAGTTGCTCAAAATTAAATTACTTGAGAAAACAGGATGAAGTTGCCTTGTTTCATTTCCTCCAGCTCCGTCTTGGCTGTGCTCTGCTCCCAACTCCTGGCTGGGAGGGTTATTTCCTTCTAGATCTTGATGTTCTGGTCTTCCATCTGAATTAAGACTGAGGCAGCCTTTTCTGCTGTGGTTTGACAGCTTGGAGTGCTTTTAAAGCAATTAGAAATGTCTGCAGTAGGAAGCTGCCACATGCCTGTGTTGGAAGCAGCTGTGCTGCAGCTGGCGCATCTCTGCACCTTGGGTTGCCGGTTGCCACTTCCAGCTCTCAGCCACACAAATCACAGGCTGAATAAATCACCCTGAGGAGAAGTGTGGCAGAAAGAAGGCATCCTCCTTCTGGGATGCTGACAGATTGGAAAGCCTCTGCTTGAGCATCGCTGGTAACTTATTTTCTAAAGTTTAATTTGATAGAGGGCAAGGGTTAAGTGTTTCGCCATGAGCTGCCCATTGTCTTTCTGAACTGGGAACAAACGTGTTTGGAAACTTTCTTGTTCTGTTTCTGTGTGTTATGACAGGGATGCCCAGGCCTCACTTGCTGGTGAGGGAGGTGTGGGTGCAGGTCACAGCTGGTGCTGGGTGATGCAAGAGGAGATGCAGCTCCTCGCCCTCTGCTTGTACACCTCCTACTTTTCTCTCCTCCTTCAGCTTTCTTTCCATTTGGACTTATGATTTTTTTTTCTTAAACTTTTCCAGCTCCAAACCTGGTTATAATATGTCCTTGCATCATATTTTTCCTCCCCTCTTCCCAACAGCCAGTAGCTGTCCTGCAGTTTTGATGTGAGTGACAAGGAGTACCTCCAGCTGCCTTTGGGAATGGCTCTCTTGGCATAGCTCAGAAGTACTTGTACTGAAATAAATAACCTTGTATTTTATTAACCAACAAATTAAAATCATGTGACAGATGTATCACTATTGCTTCCCATGACAGATGATAGGAACAAAACTTGATCTGGGATCTGGGGAGTGTTTTCATGAGGTGAATGTTTGCTTGGATACTAGTGTCTTTAACTTTGAAGTAATTTGATTTGTTCTCAAGGTTATTTTTTCTGCTTTATGTTTTGGCCTTGCATTAGGGCCTAGGTCATTTCTTTTCAGCTTATGAACTGTTGATGCCTGAAAAAGTACACAGTAATTAGAACATCTACCCTGATAGGACCCAAAAGCCCTGAACAACACTTTCTTGTTACCAGGAGGCGCCAGTGTAAAGTCCACGCAATAAGGTGATTTAGCTTGGGTGTGTACAGGTGATGCTGAGATGAAAGTTAATGATAAATAGCACGAGTCCTTTCCCTAATCTCCCCATTAATGCTGGCATCAACAAGCTTATTGTATGCCTTGGACCTGTTTTAAGCCCCACACTGAGTTGGACACCCTGGGTTCTGAGGAGATACTGCTGTGGTACCTGACTTCTGTGAGATCCAGTCTGTCTTTTCTGCTGAAGGAAGCCGGACACCGTGAACCTTGATACATTTTATGTTCAGTTAAAAGAAAACACAGTTTCATCCTAGGAATCAAGAAGTGCCTTTTACTACAAACCAAGAATCCCAGAACTCAAGTGTAAATGGGGGTAGTTTGGATAGATTGGAAAATGTGTGTAAAGAAGCCTTTGCTCTGTTAGAAGTGAAAAGGCACGTTGCTCTGTGTGTATATGCTCTGTGGCTTGTTTGGAGCATGTAGACACGAAAAATGCACATTGCATATGGGCAAGGATAGTGGGGTTGAGGTACATGTTGTATGTTCTGCTGGAAATGTATATTTGGGACAGTTTTCAGCTGACAAGCTGTAAATCAGTGCCTGCTATTGCAGCATGAGCTTTAATGGGAGTCACATAATTTTCCTAATCTCCTTCCAAGTGTTAGGAAATAAACAATTTCCTAATCCACGCCAGGTTGTTGTTGTTATTTGTATTGTAAGTTGTGCCAGGTGCTGTACAGACAGGGGGAAGCAGCCCCAGCCCTGGTGCACCGCTACCTCCGGGTGTTCTGCAGAGCAGAAAGGGGATGTGAAGACAGAACCACAAGTACGATGAGCTGAAGGGCTAAAATTACTGCCCTTATTCACACTTAAAAATAGCTCCTTACAGACTTAGGTTTTATTTGATGTGAGTTACAGCTTACTTTGTAAGAAACTAATTTATTCCAATATGAGTAAGTGAGGCAGAATCTGCCCTTAGCTGAGACCTATTTATGTATTTGCTTAGCATGAGTGTGGATAGCAGGAGGCTGGGCACTTTCAGCTTAGCAAAGCCACAGCTTTTCACATTAAGAAACTGATTCTATCTAAGGATATATTCAAATGAATGTTAAAAAGTTTGAAAGCTTTTATTTTAGTGTGCTGTGGTATAGATGTAGGTCACTATATATACTCAGATGTAGTGAAACAAACTTTCTTGTCTTTATATAATGTATTCTTCATTGACCAAAATGTGGAAAAATATGTTTAAAAATATCTTTTATTAGCTCTTGTGGCTGTTTGCACCAGACTGCTGGATGCTGCTCCCTTTTGAACACTTCAGGTTGTCTCTCCTGAAAGAACTGTTTGCACTGACAGCTGGTGGAAAGCAAAGTGTCTGCTGTGCTATTATTACTTCCTCACCTTTTCCCCTAGCTCCCACCATTCTATTCACAGACACATCACAGTGCTCTTGGTATGTTTAAAGAAATGGCTTGTAAGTGAAGTGTCCACTGATGTAGATGAATATTTAAAGCTCTGCTGAGCAGCACATGGGCTGTTTCCTGCAACTGTGAGTGCATGGCTTGGTTACAGCCAGGCACAGCATTAGGCTGATAACATCATAAACTACACAAAATGGTAATGCAATCCAAATGTTTGTGCTGCCAGTGAATATTCTGATCACATCTGCTAACTCTAATTATTTTTTCCTTGGTAAAAAAAGGTTTGGTTTTGTTTTGCTTTGGGTTTTTTTCCACCTTTATCAAAGCAAATTCTTGTGTTTCATCTGTCAGCAGGGCTTCTGTTCTGTTGCAAGGTCTGAGCGAAGTTTTTGAATGCTTGTGATGAATGAGCTGGGATAAAAAATACTTTGGCTCTTTGATGGCCTGGGTAGTTTGCAAGTCTGACAGATTTGTTCAGTTTGGAGATGTGATGAGCAGTATCAGAGGCCATACCTACGTGGTAATTCAAGGCACATTGAAAGGTTTTAACATCTCTGTTGTGGCTCGAGAGATCCATATTCTGAGACGTCAGATTCTTCAGAAACTGACAGCAGGCAATGCCTGGATTTTGAACTTTCCTCTTTTTCTTTCCTCTTCTCTTAGAACAAAATTGAATTACAATCCTCCAAAGGATGATGGGTCAACGTACAAGATTGAACTCGAAGGGATATCTGTTGATATCATGAAAGAGATACTAGATTACATCTTCAGTGGGCAGGTATGGTATGAAAAAAAACCCCCTAAACCTCACTTGGACTATTTGGTTAAATAACTTGAATTTTAACACTCTTATCCTGAAAGATGTTTAAAGCTTTGTGGTAAAACTTCTGCAGAGTGGGACTGTGCATATGAAGTAGAGGCAGTAGGTTCTGCAGGAGTTGTCTCTGCTCTTCTTGTGCAGCAGGGGAGGACTTTAAAATTTAGAGTCAGTGTCAAATGCTTGTGTTAAAATTAGTGGCTACCTGCTTTAAAACAGGCAGTGTTTGTCAGTGGTGGCAGAGGACTGCTTTGGTAGCCACAGAGGTGCAGACCCCATCACTGAGCATTACAGAGCACCAGGCACCCTCCCTCCCTTCCTTCCCCTCGTGCCCACCTCTCTGGCCTCTTCTCAGATCTGCCTGCCAGGAGCCTTAGCAGCCATTAAAGTTGGTGTGTCCTGTTTGTTTGGAACCAGACTGAGATTGCTGAACGAGTTTAGCATTCAGCAGAAAAAGAAAAGGCAGATTTGGCTTGAAATTCATTCCTGCATGTATTTAAAAAAAGTATTTATTTATTACAGCAAAATTCATTTTAGGTTCCTGGATGAGATGACCAATTTTATGCTTGGTTACTTCAGGAACTTCCCAAAATTTCTGCTTCACACCTTCTGTCAAGCAAATGCCTTTTCAACCCTGTGATAATTAATAAATGGTTAGCAATCATATCAGTTTCTCCTAATTTTTACACTGGCATTAATACTCCATTTTTCAGCCTCTGAGAATGACTGTAATGAATGCAGGCATGTCATGGAACAAATGAGTGATAGTAGCTATAACTTCTAAATTAATTCTTGCAGATCAGGCTAAATGAAGAAACTATCCAAGATGTGGTACAGGCAGCTGATCTCCTGCTGCTTACAGACTTAAAAACTCTCTGCTGTGAGTTTTTAGAAGGTTGCATAGCTGCTGAGAACTGTATTGGTATTCGGGACTTTGCACTGCACTATTGTTTGCATCATGTTCACTACCTTGCCTCAGAGTATCTGGAAACTCACTTTCGAGATGTCAGCAGCACAGAGGAATTCTTGGAACTGACTCCTCAAAAACTGAAAGAAGTGCTGTCGATGGAAAAGCTCAATGTTGGAAACGAAAGATACGTCTTTGAAGCGGTGATTAGGTGGATTTCTCATGATTCAGAATCCAGAAAGGTCAGGACATCCAAATGTTTGTATTTTGAACATGGCGCAAATCGGAGCCCTCATTCTAATCAGTGGGAACTATTAGATAGAACTATATTAATCTATTTCAAATAGATCTGTTTCTTTCAGAACTAATCTTATAGAATTTATTGAATTTTGCTTGAAATGCAGACCATGGCATTGCAGTAAAAGGGTGTGCTGATGATATATCATCTGCTGCCTTTATTATTTAATAAGCATTAAGAAAAAAAGCACCATTTTGGTATTTGATGGTATAATCTTGGTGGGAAAGCAAAAATAGCTCATTTATAGAGAAACTTGGAGGGCTTTGATGCATTTTCTTACTAACACTGTGTTGTATAGTTTATTGCTTGCCAGTATCAAAATCTCTTGAGTATTTGCTAAACACAGAAGCATCTGCATGTCCTGGTGCCTCAGTGCTGGGGGTGATTTTGTGTCCCTGCTGCCTCCCCAGGTCCACATGAAGGATGTCATGTCGGCAGTGTGGGTGTCGGGCCTGGACGCTGCCTACCTGCGCGAGCAGATGATGAGCGAGCCGCTGGTCCGCGAGATCGTCAAGGAGTGCAACAACATCCCCCTGACACCCCCGCAGCAGGGAGAGGCCATGCTGGCCTCCTTCAAGCCCCGAGGCTACTCCGAGTGCATCGTGACTGTTGGGGGGGAAGAGAGAGTGTAAGTGTGCGGTGGCACCACAGCTGGCCCCAGTGCCAGCGCTCACAGCACTCCAAAAACACAGAGTGCAGAATATGTGCAACTATTGCTTATTACTCTAGCATTTCAGTTTGTTTTAGGTTGGTCAGACACACCTAAAATACCTTTGGGGATGATTCAGTAATAAATAGTTATTTTGTTTCTGACATTCAGTGTGTAATAAACTTAGAGTAGGGTTGTTTGTTCAGTAAGTGTTCGCTGTGTTTTTTTTTAAACTGAATAGACTTAAACACAGAATCATTTCTGATGCTCTGACAATCATCTATAACAAAACTTAGAAGTAATGAATGTGTGCTTCAAACTGTTTTGTTTATAATAGATGTGGTTCCAAAAACAAAAGTCATTATTGGTGCATCTGAGATAAGGTGAAAATTCCCATTCTACATAATAATCCCTTTCTTTTCTTGAGTACCCCCTGCAGCAGAAGGGAGGGTTCTGTCCTGTTTAAATAAAGCTAGCATTTAGATGTTAGCTCTTTTATAGAAGTGCAGTAAACCACTCAGATAACATTTTGCATGTCAGTTTGTGAATCACTTTACTCAGACATTACTAATACTCTCTATCGGTTCTTAGCTTGTTCAAACTTCATAAAAAAGGTTACAGGCAGATACAGTAGGAATGAAGTGAATCAGCTTTTCATGTCTCCAAGTCTGTACAAACTCAATTTACACATTTGGTTTGGGGGTCTTCTGCTTACCAGAGAAATGCCACATGATGAATATAGATCTTGAAAACAAGAACGAGCAAGCTTTGGACATGAGGTGTTAACAGTGAACTCGTAAAACTCTGTCTTTGTCTTTCTGTTTCTGCTTGTTCCCTCCCCACCCTGTGTTCAGATCACGGAAACCAACCTCAGTGATGCGGTGTATGTGTCCTCTTTATGATCCCAATAGACAGCTCTGGATTGAACTTGCTCCTATGAGTATTCCAAGGATCAATCATGGAGTATTGTCAGCAGGTAAAGGGGAACTTTGTCTTTGTAAAGTCAATGTTATGAAAACTTACCAGTGCCTCAAAATCTGACATACAGCTTATAATAATAATAATAATGATAATAATGTATTTTCTTTAAGACTGACTGCACTGGGGTTATTTCATGCTTCCCCTTTGTCTGCCCAAAACTGTACTTGATTCTGTGAAAATCCCTGTCATCTGAGTGTCTTAAAATCACTATTCCTGCAACTTTTTGTGGGAATCTGCTACATATGTCTCTCCAGGAGTATTTAATGTGTTAAGTAAATTCTTGCTGCTGCATCACTGAATATGTTGAAAGGTATCTGCAGGGGTAGACTTGAGTCAGATGTAACTGTGCTTTACCTTCTCCAGTTCAGAGTCTGACCTGTGACTGGTCTGGATCTCTTAGTGAATTCCAGAATACAACTTGCCAGTCATAGTTTTGCTCAGTGTGCAGATGTGAGTGCTCTTCTTGAGAGTCCTGTTCTTAAGATCATGTTCCATTTTGTTTTACAGAAGGATTTTTATTTGTGCTTGGTGGTCAGGATGAAAACAAGGGAACGCTAAGCTCTGGAGAGAAATATGATCCAGACACCAATTCATGGAGTTCCTTACCACCAATGCATGAGGCAAGATCTCTATCTAACTGTTGGGATTTAAGTTTTTACTTTGGCAAAATGTTCCTTTTCTTCTGCAAAATTTTATTCTGAATCTCCAGTCGCTTGCATCTTACACATTCAAAATCATGCTACAGACTGACTTCTGTTTATATCCTGTTGTTCTTGTGGTCTGATGCTGACTGCTGGATCTGGAAAATCTAAACAATTGGTGAAGAGCTAACTGTAAGATGAACTACAAAATTTCAGGAATTTCATAATGAATCAGTCCTATAGTATACTTAATGTTCTGCGTATACTGGCCTTCTAAAACAAGAGACCTCTGAGATGGACAAAGGGATCGGACTGTGCAGAAAAGATGGACACAGGACTGGCCAACATACAGAACTTGGCTTGCACAGACATATTTAGGTTTGGTTTGAGTTAATGCTTCCTTCTTCATAATTACATTCCATCAAAAAATAACAGTTTGTTATTTGTAAACATATATCCTTAATACACCTGTGTTTTTATCTTTGTAAATCAGCACAAGGTGTTTATTAAGAAGTTATTTACCACAGGATTTTCCTCTTTGCAATCTCTGGTTGACAAAGGCATGTAAATTTGGCTACAATTTTAGTTATGATGCATTAAGTTTCCTGCTTGTGATGTGTTTGCTGTGAGACTGAGGCATAGCTGGGCTCATACATACAGAATAGAAGAGCTGCCTTTGCACAGAGAATGGGTCCAGGCTTTGCTGCTATAGAGATCTGAAAGCAACAGCCTCATTGTGGAGACCACCACTATGGGAACTGAAATATTGCCAAGCTCTGTTCTCTGATTTCTGTGTGGTCTCTTTGGCTTCTGCTGCTCTGCTTCTTTTTTTTTCTTTTCTTTTGATACCCTTTGTTTTGTTTAGTTGATTAAATTAATAATCTTATGCTGGTGTTTAGGACTTTACCATTAAAAAAAAAACCAAAACAGAACAAAAGCCAGGCATAATACCAATAGCACTTTGCAGACAGATACTCTGAAAAATAAGATTGTATTCATTTATTTACAATGGCAGTTATGTTTTTCAATGTTGACTTTATTGATGTTCCTTAGGCACGACATAATTTTGGTGTGGTAGAGATTGATGGGATTCTGTATATTCTGGGAGGTGAGGATGGTGAAAGGGAGCTGATCTCTATGGAGAGCTATGATATTTATAGCCGGACCTGGACCAAGCAGCCAGACTTGACCATGGTTAGAAAGGTAAAAACTACATCCTATATCATTGTGTTGCTTCTTGTTAAACAGTTAATGCAAATATATGTATGTATATAAATAAAAATATGTATTTTAATCTTTTGCTTCAAGTAGAAGCTGTAGCAAATAGTCTCAAAATGAAATGAGAGTGAGCAGCTTCTCTCTTTATACACCAAAACAAAACTGTGGCTGAGCATTTTTGTGTCTTGCATTGTTTGACACGTGGTACAGGCAACCCAAATGGGTCTGTGTGTGTGTATAGACAACTTTGAGCTCTCAATACTATGCATTTGTGTGTCATTTTAGATATATTTTTCTTTTTTTTCCATAAGATTGGCTGCTATGCAGCTATGAAGAAGAAAATCTATGCAATGGGTGGAGGCTCCTATGGAAAACTCTTTGAATCTGTGGAGTGTTATGACCCCAGGACTCAGCAGTGGACAGCAATCTGTCCTCTCAAAGAGAGGAGGTGAGGCAAAATGGAAGGGGGTGGGACTAGGTTGCTTTTCCAGTGCTCTGATGGGAGGAAAGTATCCTTTTGCTGATGAATCTGTGAAGATGGGCTGTGAATCTCACCAGGTCTTTCTGAGTCATGGTAGCCTGTAGTTAACGTGTGGCTGAATAAAGACAAGCATCCAAGCAATAAATACAAATTTTGTAGAAACATACAAGCAATAGTTCCCTGATGAAAAAATGAAAACTAGAAACTGTAGTTCAATTGGAACTTCACAATATTTTTAGACAGAAATATTTTACTGTTTTTTTTTCTTTTATGATCTGAATTAGGTGCTTACAATTAATATCCATTACTCATCTTGTTGGATATTTAAGGTATCTGTATATGTGTATAAATAAATGTGTATAAATAAATGAGAAAAATATGAAGAAAGTTCAGATGGGTATGCAAAAGGGTTTTGATTCATTGCATTAATATTTTTTCCTCATTTGGATTTTCAGATTTGGGGCAGTGGCCTGTGGAGTTGCCTCTGAGCTTTATGTATTTGGTGGGGTCAGGAGTCGTGATGACAGCCAAGCCAGTGAGATGGTGACGTGCAAATCGGAGTTTTATCATGATGAGTTTAAAAGGTAACTGGCTGCAGCTCTAGAAGATAATTTGCCATCCAGTCATCTGCCTGTTCCCTCACCCCTTTTTCCTGCACTCCAAAGCACATGAGGTCTGTGTCATGTACCTGTTGCTCATTTCACTTTGTGACATGGTATGGCCATTTCTGAAGGCCCATCCACTCCACTTTTCCTTCTAACATGCTAAGCCTAAAGCCCTGGAGCCACCATGTGGGTCTTGAGTGCCCCTGGACAGGAGAAGCACCTTGGTCACACAGGGTGTTTGTGGTTCTTCCCCTGCACTCTGCAATTTCCCCAAGTGCAGGGTTCTGCTGCCCACCCCTGCAGTGCCCACAGCTCCCTGTTGAGTGCTCATTACAGGTCTTTTTCAACCTAGATGATTCCTATGGAAGAATGTATGTGTGGAAAGGGATATTTCTTTATGATCCAATCCTCTCACCAAAGATTTGCAGTTTAGGGAATTTCTAAGCCAGAGATAAGAAATGTTATGTATTTCCATTCCAAGCATTTAGAGCTGATGACACCTATGTAGGCTTTTGCCATAGGAAAGACACTATGTATGCTACACATCCCAGAGCCACCTCACCACACTGCATGGCTCATCTCCTTCTGTTTGTTTTGAATTTGCTTCCTATTATTTCATTTGTTATCTCTTGGCTCTGGTAGTGGAATCCACCTTACTATATGTGGTAACCATTCAAAATATTACCTTACACTGAATTTTTTGTTTAGTCACCTTATTCTCCAGTCATAACTGACAAACTTGGTTCTTCCAGTGACTTTCTTCTTGCATATTACTGTAAATTGGATTATTCTTCTTTCATAAATTAAATTTTAAAAAGACTTTGTGGTCAAATGTTTCAAGGCTTGTTGACAAGTGAAGGAGATTAGCATGTCTTTGTTAGAAGATCAAGACTGATTTATGGCAGTGACCTGTATAAAAGGACACAAAAATAGAACAGTGGATGTAAATTCATTATATAATTTTCTTGCAAGATATGGTTGTAAAGAGACTTTAATTTCTGTATGAAGAGGTCTTCTCTGTTGTTCAAAGTGATGCCTAAACTAGCTATAATCAAATGAAGCTGAAGAAAAACATCCTTTAAATTGGTTAGAGGAAGCAGACAGATCAGAGGGGCTGTTGCTGCTGATGCTCTCTCCCTTAGCATTTGCTGGCCTTCTGGAGGCTGGGGAAATGATAGAGGTTTATTAATGTTTTGCAAGAGGTCTTTGGAAAGGAAAGAACTGTGGAAAGAAGTGCTCCCCTCTCTCCTACTTGCTATTTTCAGCTGATTTACTTGAAGTATTTCCAGCCTGATTCTGTTCTTCAGAAGGTTGTAGCTCATGATTCCTCAGCGGTGGCTGCAAACCTGTTTTGCTGGTTGATGCAGGTTGAGCTTCCACAAAGTGGAGTTTGGGGAGCTGGGAGGGCCCAGCCCGGGTGCTGCAGGTGAGTCCGTGGTGCCACCTGCTGACTGCAGCACCCACACCTGCCACAGTGGCGTGGATTTGTGTCTGCTTGGTGGCATCCCCGAGGCCTTTCAGGGTTCCAGTGGTAAAACTGCAGCTGCCCCAGTTGCTCTGAGCGCTGGGTGTGCGGTGCGAGGGCTGTGCTGGCACGGGGCAGGGGAGGCAGCAGAGGTGACTGATGGAGCTGATAGAGGAGGCACATATCAAGCCAAGATATCAGACTTTGCCTTTCTGCTCTGCCACTGCCCAGTCTGAGCTTAGAAATTTAACTCAGCATGAACCTGCAGACAGGGCACAGGTTGTGGGTGTTCCTGTGGAGGTGAGGGACCAGGGAAGGCTGGGATGGTGGCAGCTGCTGCCTGGGCATGGTGCTCCTGGGGTTTGGAAGGCCCCAGCTCAGCCCAGGGGTGCTGCAGCCAGAAGAGGGTGCAGTGTCTCTGTGTTATGTTCCAGCACTCAGCTCCAGGGTCTGTCAGTTATCCCAGGTTTCGGTACCCTCAGAGATCTGTGTAACAGATCAGTTCTAGGCAGTCTCAAACCAAAATTCACAGTGACTTTTTAATACGTGACAATATTATATACTTTGTAGTGAGCTGTGGGTTTTTCCAGCTGTTTTTAAGTGCAGAACTCCATTGTGTTCACTTTCTCTGTGGATGGAGAGAACTCTCTGGAGTGTGAGTTCAGTGGGATGGTGTTGGTTATGGTGTACGTGCAGCCGTGCACGCCTGTGTCACCTGCACAAATTTCCATGAGTCCCTCAGGCCTCGTGGCCAGAGCACAGGGTCGAGCATCATCCCAGGCACCCAGAGTCTGAGTGTCTGAGTTACAGGTTTTACTCCTGTGTGAATGTCTAAGGATGTACTCACATCAGTATATAAACATATTAATTCATGTAAGCTACCATAATTCTGGCTTGAATTGGATTAAAGGACTGGACTTGTTTAATGTTGTTTACTTTGACAGTAACTTACTCTAAAATAACTTACAGTGCAGAGTCTTTCAAAATTGTTATTCTTAACCGTGATGAAGACTTTTCAAAGACTGGGGATATGCTGAGATCTTCACACTAGCAAAAAAATAAACATTGAGACTCCTGTTAAGCTGTGCTGTATAAACAAGTAATAAAATAAATGAAGTGAGACAGAATAGTAGCATCCACATGAAATGTGAACAGGGTAATGTAGGAAATAATTCTCATACTTGAAGTGCTGCTGTAACTGAGATTTTTCAATTAATAAATGTTTTGTCAGCCTGTCTTTAGAGTCATGTGCATGAGTGGATTTAAGTGAACCCAAAGATAGAAAAAGCTCTATGTCAGACTGCAGGGTTTTTGCAGGATGTAGGTTTTTTTTCCAAAGGCTGTAGATTGAGCTTTGTGTGCATTGTATCCTGTTTTTTTAAATATCGATCAAGCTAAAAACAGATTTAATGAATGTGAAAATGGAAGATAGAAATGTGAAGGTATCCTTCACTCAGTGATCTAGTGCTGGTCTACTCCATAAAAAGCAGGAAATCTTAAATACATACTCAAGACCTTGATGGGTCAGACTTTCTTTCTATCAGAGTTCATAATTTATAATACACCTTTTGCACCACATAGATGAGTGGAGAATTGGATGATGTCTGTAAACCCTTGGATCTTTTCAGCAGGGATGGTTGGAAATATTTAATAGAGCCCAAACTGACTTTAGGACTCTTTGCAAGATCTGCTGGTGTAGGGCCACTGCTGCCTTTCCCTGGTGGCCTGTAAGAGGGTAGGATTTCTTCCTTCTTTTCATGATTCAAAAAATGATTACAAAAATTTGCAGGTATTGAGGGGGATTAAAGTGAGAGATAATTTTCAGAAGCAGTACTTTGGTAAAATATCCTTTTCAGTGTTCCTTTTTGCTACTGGAACGTCATAAAAATAAGGAAGAGCTTTCAGCAGTATATAACTAGTGAACTAAATAGTCATGTAACATAGTATGTGTAATTAGCAACATTCTTCCAGTCAGTGTGCAGGAATTTCATTAAAAGCAAGTGCTTATGCACATGCAATGAGAACACTGACTGATAGCACTGTCAGATGAGAGGAACATGGATTTTCATTAATTTCCAGGCTTCCTTTCTCAGCTGGGGTGATCTTGAGGTGACGTGTCTAGAATATGTTGGTTCTGTATCCCATCTTTATTTACTTCCCACTTGGAAATAGAGTTACCCCCCTCCCACATGTTAATTACAGCAGTGTGGATGGATCATTTTGTTTGACTCACTTTAAGGCTGAAAAAAATCAGGATTCCTTCCCTTCTTTTTTTAAATTGGGTGGAAGCCTGTTCCAGTTTCAGAGCCATCACTTCTGCCCGTGGTTGCAGCAGGACTCGCCTTCCCCCTGCTCCTCTTGGACTCGGTTTGAGTGGAGCCATCCCAGGGAAGTACGCAAGAGCTCTGTTCCAAGGACTGTTTTCAGATTCCTGAAGATTGTGAATTTTTGGTCATGGTGTTTTTTCCATACTGTTCAAACAGCAGGCACAACCCACATTAAGCTGGAGCTTAGTCAAATTCTGATGAAATGTGACCCCTTGCCCTTCCTGTCTTTGTTCCTTCCTAGTTTCAACTGCTAAAGCTGCTGTGAGTGTTCCTGAAAAGTAGTGCCTGTTTTTTAAAGTATACATGTTAAGAAAGCCTGAGGATGAATTTTCACAAGCAGCTACAGATAGTTGAATATTGTCCTTTGGTGATGCACAGGAGGAAAATGCTTGGGTCTCACCTTGTGGGTTTAGTTTTTTTTGTTTAAACTCCAAAACCCGGAGTATATAGTGCAGATAAACTCCTGATTTGAGTTTTTTCCTTTCCTTAACCTGATCCTATAGTTAGAGTTTAAAAAAAAAAATAATTTTGGAAAAAAAATAAATTAAAAAAAAATTATTTCTGCATTTCTCTGCCACTTACTCAGTTTTCAGAATTCTAGGTCACTTGCTGCTAAAAAGCAGTGAAAATACTGTGTCCTCCTCCTACAGTAAGGGAAGGAAGCTAATGAAATATGGTGCAAGTTGTTTTGATCTGTAAGAGTGTCTGATCCAGTGTAGAGAACTTCTCCTTTTCTCTCCTTAGTTCATCTGTCCTCTGTGACAGCTGCAAACCATTTCCTTGCTTTGCACAGAACGTTAATCCTTCAGTCTGCAGGACAGACAAAATAATGGACAGCTAATCCTTTCATTTGCCCTTTAAAAATTGATTTCTATCTCTAAGATAATTGATATGGAGCAGCATCTCCTTCACTGCCAGAAGAGTGGTTTACTTCTGAATCAGGAGTTCAGATGATGTAGAATTTTCAAAATCAGCAGTATCTGGGAGGGCATTTTCTTACTTTTTCTTTCAAATTAACCTGGTATGGCCATGAAAATATATGGGATGATTTTCAAAGGTTTCTCAGATCTTCATGTTCTCTGTAAATTATTTAATAAAAAGGGTAGGAGCAGTCCCCTAAAATGGCCTTGACTTGTACATCTGAGGGTCTCTACATGGTAGCTGTGACAGCATCTGCAAAGATGCAGCAGCATTTTATAGGAATTTATTTCAGAACAACAGAGAGAATGCTGATAAGTCTTGGATCTCTTTATAAACCAGCATCTCATGTGGATGAGGAGTACATTCCTACCAACTTTCCAAAGGCTTCAATGTGGAAAACCGCTTTTCACTCAGTGGAAAGATCAGGCTGATGTGGTGTTGAGATGAGCCTGTGCTTACAGTGAACACAGCAGAATTATAATACTACTGTAGGAGCTGGAAAGGGATTGAAATGAGCCTAATATGTGATTGGGAAGATCTGTGGCAATTCCAGATAAAGGACATTTCTTTCCCAAAGTCCGTCATCACTTTGATTTCCAGTCTTCTATTGGTTGTTTGAAGTTAAGCATTGCCAAGTGCTGCATTCTTCATAGCAGGCAAGGATTTGTTGTCCCTAATAAAGCACTACTAAAGAAGTTGAAGAATTATATGGGGGAGACATTGCTTAATAACAAGGTTCTGCTACAGCAATTTGTTATTTCCCCTACTGTGGATCATTAAAGCTTAAATGTGTTTATTTTAAAGACAATTTAAAGACTAATTTTAAGACAAAACTGCCTAAAATTTTCTCAGTAGGGAAGATTGACTGGCATAGCTGTTGTTGGCTCTCTAACATGCCTGCTCTTTTCCAGAAAGTCACACCAGGTGGCTGCAAGAAGAATTTATTATAGGTAGATTACACAGATGAGTGGAGCAAGTCTGAAATTAAGCAACTTCAGGATACAGCAGTACTAGCTGCTTTTCCTGGCTGGGAGAAACCAGGATTGTCCCAAACTATACAATGTTCTCTTTACATAACAAATTAATACCTGCTACTCTGCTTTTGAGTCAATGATTACAGCTGCAAAAAGACTCTGGATTATTTTTTAAAATGTGCCCACTAAAAATCAAATCCTGTTTTTTTAATTGTTATTTTTACAGGTGGATTTATCTAAATGACCAGAACCTATGTATCCCAACTAGCTCTTCTTTTGTGTATGGAGCTGTGCCCATCGGAGCCAGCATATACGTGATTGGAGATCTCGATACAGGTCAGAACCAGGACTAAAAACCTCTTTATGCTCATTTCCTTCCAATATTTTAAATACTTGGCACTGATGAGACTGAACATTTTAAGAATAAGAGGTTGGGACTCTGTTCTGTCACTGTGGGTCAGGGGAACTATGCTGGACATCCAGAAACACCACAGGTTGGTTTTGGACCTCTTCAGTAACAAGTTCAGTGCTTTGAGCATTGGGTTGATTTGGTTGATTAATTTGAAGACCACAAGAGATCAAGGCTGAGTGTGTTACTGCTTTTATCTAAATGTAGGACCTGTTAGTGCTTTAGGTTGTAACTCCTATCTTTGCAGTGGGAAACAGGCAATTCTGCATTCTAGGAGCATCATCCAGTGGTTCATATGGACGTGGCAGTGACTCTTGGCTCTCACCAGACAGATGTGTGCTATCAAACATACTCAGTTCTCAGCTGCCAGCATCTGGCCACGCTCTGTAAAAGAGATTTGGAAGACTTTTGTGGCCATGTGTACATATAGGAGTGTGTAGCAGGGCTTTCTCCAAAATACACGCAAACAAAATTCCAAATTTGGTTTGGTAGATCAGAAATGTCATAGTAGTTCCCTTTTGACGATGATTTCCACTACCCATCCGGACACTGATTTGTGTTCCTGTGCATGCTCTCATTCACGTATTTGCCTTACTAGAGGTTAAACGTGGTGGCAGCTGCAGTGAGTTATAAGCATTTCACCTCTTTTTCCCTTAATTCAGGTACAAACTATGACTATGTTAGGGAATTTAAGAGAAGCACGGGCACCTGGCAGCGCACTAAGCCGCTGTTCCCCTCGGACCTGCGGCGGACGGGCTGCGCAGCGCTGCGGATCGCCAACTGCAAACTCTTCCGACTGCAGCTGCAGCAGGGATTGTTCCGCATCCGCGTACCTTCGCCGTGATCCGTGTGCTGCCAGGGGAGGAGACTGGAAGAGTTCTGTGCAGTCCACCATAATCTAGCTCTATTTAAAGGAAAAGCTGAGAAATTACAGCTGAAACTTACACTGTATGCTGTGCTTTGGTATGGTAACTGTTTTTGTTTTAAATGCTTACAAAAGCTTGAGTCTCAGTACTTGTTTTGGGAACAAATAACTTAAGTACACATTAAAAAGAAGAGAAGGGGGAAAATAAAAGGGGGAAATCAAGGAAACACCTTCAGTCGTAACCATTTGGAGTTTAAACCATGTTATTGAAGGAGGATTTTTGTGTCTGAAACTGGTGGGAATCGGTTTCCTTTGGCAAAGCTTATTGAAAAGCAAAAAAAAAAAAAAAAAATAGATTTCAGGTGCATTTCCCCTGCGGGGAACTGATACGAATCCATGTGCTATCTGGAACTGGATAGCTGTAACACAGAAGCTACACGATAACCAACCTCCCTGGTGTGCTGCTGTTGGAGCATGAGGCCACAGGAGGTATTGGTTGTTGCACCTTTTATTTCTAGTCCTTTCTCAAAAGATAAGGTCTGTGCCTAAAAAATGGTGGAGGTGTGTACATACGGTTTTTCATTCATTTGCAATGGTTTCATTCCGACAAATATTTTTAATATATATAAAATGGACTAATATGAAATGGATATAGTACACCACAGAGAAGTAAACTGTTTTTTTCTACTCTGTCATTCGAGTAGCCCGATGAACTGGTCTGCGGGTGGGTGGCGTGTGTTTCTGGGTGGGCTTTGGTGGCTGTTTTCCTTGAAGTGAAAAGGGAAGACATGTTTGGAACAGTTAGTGATGATTGCTGCTTTTGGTGAGAGCAAAAGGACAAATTAAATAGACTTTGTTCCTTTTTACTTCAGATTGTTTTCAAGCTAAGAATGGTTTTTAAGACTGAGGATCATAGAAAGGTGCATTTTATGTCTCTTAGAACAAAGGTGAAATATGACAAGGATATATTTATTTTGAAGAAAATGTGGGTTTTGGACTAAGAGTTAAGGAAGATTTGTACAGTGACTTTAAATTGGGATCAAAAGTTGGTTTACTATTGATTTCTGTGCTACAGTACAGTCTTGTTTACTGCTGTCTGACTTTGAAAGCTGGGTTTTATGGTGTGGTTATAGTGAAGAACTTAGTATCTTGCATTTTATTACTTACTAAGCCTTGTTCACATGAGTAGTGATATTTAATTGACTTTTGTTTGTAGTCAGGATCAGCTGGTAGAACAGTTTTACCTCAATTTTTGATTTCATTGTTGTGATGGGTGGGACATAACCTCTATTTATTTAAAAGGAATAAAATGGGAGAGATGGAAAATAGAAATAATACTTCCTGCCCTTCAGAAAAAGAGACTTTGTACAACCAGTATTATAACTACATACAAGACTTTCCACTCTGCAACTTTGTGGACCTCAGACAAGACAAACTCTGCCCTCAGTTGTGTTTGTGTAAACCTTCGTCATCTTTATTGAAATCATCTTACATATGTTGAAATATGATCCCAAACTAGTTCAAAATATCGGTATTTCACTAAATAGTCCTTGAAGAGCCATTATGAAACATACCTCTGCTCAGTCCTTCCATAGCACTGATATGGGGTTGGAATTACTCTGATTCCTGAGCAGAGGAGTGTGGGAGGGTGGGGAAAGGGGCAGCAGCCAATCCATTTACTTTTTTTTTTTTTATTATTTTTTACAATGCTGAAGTGCTGCAAAACTTGAACTATATACATTGATTTTCTGACCTATATTAGTTGGCATATTAAAAAGTTTATATATTTATGCATTGCAGTAAACTTGGTGTGTGTATATATATGTCTTTAGATTTTAAATTTATATATAATGCTTTACTACAGAAATGTGAACCACTATTTCCATCCTTGGCTGTCTTGTGAAATAAATCAAGTTAGTTTATCTGTAAAACTTCCCTTTTTTGAAAAATCTTACATGGATCAATTTTTTTTTCTTCAGACAAAGTGCCAAGATCCCATAATCAAAAGTGATGAATGTTCCTAAGTATCTGTTTCACTTTGAGCTCAGTTTTCTAAGTGGCTTGGAAAATTTCCGAAAATGTTATTCAGAATATTGCCAGCTGCTATCTCCCGAGTCCCTGTAGCTTCCCAGTACGCTTGAGGGCATTCAGCATCCAGAAAACGTAAGTGATAAATGCACATGATAAATACAAGTAAATATCTAGCAGTGTTCTGCAGTTCAAGTTACTGAACCAAATGTTTACACTTAGAGTAGGATTAACACTAGGTGTTCTTAGTTTGTTTTTTTTTTTGAAAGAAAACATAAATAAATCAAGTCTGCTGGTGATTGGAGCGTGGTGCGAATGCACTCAGTGAGATTTGACCAAGAAGTTTAAGCCTCTGTACCTGAACCAGTCACAAACTGAATTTCTGAGCACATTGTACTCGTGTCACGTTCCATGTGGTTGGGGCCCAGGTCTCCAGGGTTGCTCTCCAGGGGTTTTGGGTGAGTGCTCAAGATTCAGGCACTCCTGAGATCTCAAAACTGGCTTCCTTGGCCTTGCCTAGGGCTGGAACCATTCCCCATCTGCGCTGTCTGTGGGACTGATCCGGGAGCTGTTCTAGCCTCTGTGTGTGCAGGAGGGAAGGGATGTGTCTTCTGGGGTCTGACTCTTGTCTGTCTGTCTGTCCAGCTCTGATCTGTGGGTGCATCCCTTGGATTGTGCAATAACCAGGCTTGATTTCCCTCTGAACTTGGAGCAAGGCTTTAAAGCCAGGGCTCCCTTTCTCCAGGGATTGTACCAGTGTTGGGGCAGTAGTGAAGAGGCACGGCTGACATCTGACTTTTCTTTCTCTTTTCAGAGGGATGGTTGACTTCAGAAGGGGAGGGAGGCTGTGATGATAGCAGAGGTACTGGGATGAGGGAGGTCACCAGCTTGCTGAGTGTGTTGAACGTGCAAACAGCTGTAGATTGAACTGGGTTCACTGGTAAATGCCATCACTCAGCTGTCCCTGCTCTCCTGGCACTGTGTACCCCTGCACATGATGGCTGAACCACATGGGAAACAACTCAGGAGTTTTCTAAGTTGCAGTCCAGGGGTTTTAGGTGGTTTGGCAGTTTTGAAACTTGTTTAAGTTGTCCTTGCTTGGCACAGTGGCCTTAATTCCCCCCAGCTCATGAGTTGACACTGACATTCAGCCAGGTCCTCCACAGGTGGCTGAATGTGTGTCCTGCTCAGCTGTCCGTGCAGGATGAGGACTAGCTGGGCCACCTTGAGCTTGAGGCACTTGGGCTGGGCCTCTGCATCCTTTTTCCTTTCCCTGCTGAGGAACTGGACCAACCCCAGCTACTGAAATCACAAAATCACCAAATACGGGGTAGGAATTGTGGAAGATGGGGTGAGTGGTGGCTTTTTTCTCCCCCTCACTCCATCTCTTCCCACAATTCCTCCAAGAAAAGTTTCTTCTTCCCTTTTTTTCATGTGCCACAGATAATTTTGGAAAAATTTTGGAACTGTCAATTTTAGGGAAAAAGTGGGGGGAAAAAACCACGCTACTGTAAGCACACAGCAGTGTCCTCTGTGCTTGTTTTGCACTTGTAGTCTTGTGGCTGCTCTGCACAGCAGAGAGGGATTACAGAAGTGAAGGTGTAAAGTGCTGTTGCTCTCATAAAATAAATGCCTTGAGTTTTTGAGGGAGGCACATGCCTGGCCTGGCTCTGTTCCTTACCTGGCCTTGACAGATGCTTGTACTCCTAAAGAGTCAGGGTTGGATTTCAGATCCTCTCCCTTTCTGGCTTTATAACCTGAAGAAGAGGCATCCTGAAGAGCCTTCTGTTTTGCTGTACCATAGCAAGGTCTGGTTGTCCTTAAATATTTTGTCAGCTAGTCCTTAAATTTTAGTTATTGTGCTGTGTAAACCCAGCTGCTTCTGGTCAAGTAATTTCTGTAGCTTTGAGGGTACTTCACCTTTAAATTAAAGGCAGATTAATACAAAATTACACAAAAGGACAGAGGTGAATCTGAAACCAAAAGAAGCTCAAAATCAGCTCGCTGATAGCTGTGGTCAGGCTGTGTCCCTGGTGTTTGCACAGCACGTGCCTGGCACACAGCCTGCCTTCAGGAGCAGAGATCTTGATGAAAATAAGAGGTTTTTATCAAAGCTACTGAACCGCCTGGCTTACGAACTGCCCCTCCAGAACACACCAGGCAGCTTGGTTGCTTTGCAATATTTCTGGTGCCTGCATGATTCAGTAAATGCACAAGTACAGGAGTGAGGAGTTTGGGGAGGTTTTTTCCCCTGGTTTAACTGCAATTTCTCTGTTTGTTCCATAAATCTGTGGCCGTGTAGCCTGCGTGGGCTCTGCTACCGTGCATGTGCCATGCAGACTGGAAGATGCAATAACAAATGCAAGTTGTTATAAGTGCCAAACTTTTGGGTTCTTCTGTGTATAACAATAATTCACCTGCTATACTAAACTACAGAGATGCTTAAAATTCACTGTGTTCCAAGAAAGAGCAGTGGTTTGTTTTTTTTTTATAAATGAATGCTATTGAAAGCACTGTAAATCAACTTTTTTTTTCTTTTAATACTGTTCTGCAGGTTTGTGTTGCTCTTCACAGCTGCCTTGAGTATCACCCCATGTGATGTATATGGACACTTTGCTCTTTATTAGAGCACTGGTGCCATGCAAGTATATAATAAAAGGCAGCTGTCAACAGGCTTTAGTATCTAAAATTATAACTGTTTGGATTAAGTGCAATTTGTTTGCATTAATCGACCTGCCGAAAGGAAACTGTGCCTCGGGAAGGGTGGCTGTGCCCAGGGACACAGGCAGACTGAGCATTGTAACTAAGGTGTGGTTTGGTGCCACTCACAGGGATGCTTTCCAAGGAATTATATTTAATTTAGCGTTAAATGGATCCTTTCTGCCTCTAATTTAGCACTGAGGATTTAGGGGTTGTGTTCTCTCTAGCTCTTTGGAGTACTTAAATGGCTACTTCAGGTGGGTGGGAGGGGTGTTAATTGCATCTGTGTTTGTAGAAGCTGCTATTTCCATCTTCCCAAAGGAGTATTTCCTTTTCCCGTTCAGGACTGAGTGCAGGCCTGTGTTTCAGTCGTCACTGCTGCTGCCTTTTGACATTTGCCATTTTCTGATGCTCTTCCTTGTTTTTTCTTGGAGCTGGGAGCTGTGTCCGTAGGTTCTGTGTTCCCAGGGCACGTTGCCTGTGAGAGAAGAGCACAGGGCTTGGGAAGGTGAGCCAGTAAAAGCTGAAGGCAGTGGGGTTTGGGGGAAACTGTTTTTTGTGGGGGTCACCTCTGTGTGCACTGAAGTTTATTAATGAGTTTGGCACCTGCTCTCCATCATCCCTATGGGTTTTGGTGTGGTTTTCTGGTTTGTTTTTTTTTTTAATTGTTTCCTTGGGAAATTCCTTGCTGTAGGAAGGATTGCAGCCAGGGTTTAAGGTGACACCTCTGACCAGCCATGCCCAGCGTGACTCTGCAGTCTGACTGCAGCTGTGCTCCAGCAATCAATTCTCCCAAAATATTGATTAACAGGTAACATAAAAACATGGACTAAAGCCATGCAAAGTGCCCAACTAGATAAACACCTATTTAAAAACATTAGACTATGAGCTACTATCAACAGATGATTATGTTGAAAATTTATTGGTGATACAAAACATGAATAATATTTTTTTAAAAATTACTTATTCTAGGTAGCTGCTTCTTTGTTATAAAAGTATCTGCAATACATAAAGGATTGTATAGAATAATATTTGGAGGTTATTTAAAATAATCTATTGAAATGTCATGAAAAGTGAACTAGAAGACTGGAGCTTTTCAATGAGAAAAGGCTAAACTTTGGTGCCCAGCAGTTTTGCAGGGTTTCTGTGAGCAGAGAGCACCTGCCAGTGCACTTCAGTACACGAAGCTGCCCAGTGCCACTGCCTACCTGTGCCCTTGAATTTGCATAATGAAATGAGGCTGTTCTGAGCCCTGGTAAAAGCTGATGGGTCTGATTACAATAAGAAAAAGAAGTATACCCAGCGAAATTAGTGTTATTTTATTGATAAAATGTGAATTTTTAATTTTTTTTTAATATCGGGGGCTTTTGTGTTACCAGCTTAGGCATTTGATTTATTTAATTTTTTTAATTTATTTGACTTTCCTCCATTTCTTTTGAGTTAATGCTGAGACATCCTCATTTTCTGTCGAGGGCAAGTTTCTTTCATCTGTATTTCTAAGCCTTGTCAGAGCCTGACAGACCCCCTGCCACAGGCTGTACACTTGTTTCACAAGTGTCATTTCTGTGCATTCTGTTATTGGGCACCTCTGCCAATTTCAGAACAGAAAAAAAACCCCTGTGGAACAACTTTGTACCTGGTGAAAGCAAGAGCCGTTTTGGAAAGTTTAAATTTCCATCTGCAGTAGATAGTGTGCTACAAAAACCTGATCCTTGGCTGGGCTTGAGGTTCTCTCCTGAATGATCTCACATGTGAAAACTTTGGGTTTTATCCATCTGCTTTATTAATTTACACATGATAGCAGGAAAGCATTATCATTCCTGTTACTTGATTCACTGTTTTTATGACTTAAAAAGCAAAGCCTGCTTATTTATTAGACTGAATAAAGCAAGTACACAGGGGTATCTGCTGAGGTGATCAAGTTAAACACAGCTGACATTCTGTA